TCACGGGTGTGCCATGCATGTCTCTAAGTATAGGTAGACCGCGATGCATGCGTTTCCGTTTGGATCCTGCTCCAACTCGTCGCAGTGCCGCAAACGCGGCTGCAAACTGCTTGTGCGACCACGCGTCCTGAATGTCTAGTACTATCGTGTCATAGTGTACAGCTGCGTCCACACTCACAGACTTGTTGATGACGAACGCAGTGGCACGGAGAAACACGTACGTGAAGGCCCACAGTAGCCCTTGCCATTTCCAGAACAAGGGGATAAGGCCCTGGAGTACGTACAAATCACGTGGGATTTCCACCAATGGCACGCCGTGGCATACAAGGCTGAACCCTTGTGGTGTAGTTGGCATACGACATAGTCGCCACAACGACGACAGATGGTTAGATAGAAATGGTGGGAGTACTGCACGCCCCTTAGCATCCTGCAAAGGACTGGTGAAGTGCATAGCCGACTCCGACACAGACTGCCCTGAACTGACCTCAGGATTGCACGCGGCATGTCGGAGAGTATGCGAGGGACACTCACGTACTGACCACTGCCACTCACACCTCCTATAGTTGAACCACTCCTCCACCTCCTTCCCATCAGCAGACAATGCACTGAAAACTGTAGCTAGGAGGAGCATGTTTAGCCTCTGTCGGAGCCAACGCAGGGCTTTACGACCATCTGCTCGATGATCCATCATCGTCAACGATCTCTGTGAAATCCAAGACTGTCGAGGCAGCCGTCCCTGAGCTGACTGCTGGACAGGAAAACACTTCTTGACTGCTCTACTCACCTCTGCATCTAGCTGGTGAGCATGGTCATCTGGGTGACATCCGAAACTGGGCTGTGGGATCTGCCGTAGTTCCTGAACGAACATCTGGGCACACTCGGGGTCCCGAAACTTGGCGGGGTCGTGCGGGGTGTTGGTGCTCGACTGGGCCTCTGGGCCCCCTGCCTCGGCAGTATGCCACATCTGCTGTGACCGCAAAATGGTCATCCGCCCTCATAGACAGATCAACCGACGGATCGACCCCTTGACGAGAGACGACGTTGAGAGAGGCTTGAGGTACAGTGATGTAGTCTATCCTCCTGCGAGGGTCCTGAGGCGACGCGCCCGGTGGCAGCCATGTGCCATGTATCCCCGAGAAGGGCTGCGCGAACGTCGACGCGGCAACCTGCTCAGTGTGCCTCAGAAATTCGTGAAACAACGCACCCGTGTCGTTCTCTGGTTCTGCACCTATCGGCCCAACGTACTCCGACTGTACCGAGCCCACCGATGCATTGGCATCCACAAGACAATACAGCTGCTCAGGATTTGGTCTATCACGCGCAATCCGCTGCAACCGAGCCCACCATTCAGCAACACTCGGAAATCCCGCACTAGAGCGTGCATGTGGTGCATGTGCTACCAATATGTCTACCCGCAAGTGTGGCGCACGTACGGCTGCAAGTAGATGTCGAGCGTCATGCGACAGCACACGTACATGCCTGCGTTCAAGCGTGCACCCTGGTATATACTGCATAACCGTGTTGATCCATAGGGCTACCCCATATGAACCTGAGGGCTCTGCGGGCGACGTGATTACAAGGTAGTCCTGCGCACTACGCCACGTGCTGTGTCTGAGACGCGTCTCAAGTGTACCCACGCATAGATACGCACACAATGAGAACTGATACGCCAGCGACAGCATCCGTCCAGGTATGTCAATCCCCACAGCGTCGCGGTATGCACATTGTAATCGCGTGCCTCCTGTCCCGCTGGGTCGTTTCCTCGGTCGAAGGGTGAGGACGTTGGCTACCGCAAACCTTAGGAGACAGGCTCGGGCAACGGGGCCGTCAGCACGCCCGCCTACCGAGACTGCCGTAGATGGCGGCACGGGAGGGGCCAAGGGAGTCACAAGGGCCTCAAGAGGGGACACCTCGGGGCCAGCAGTGCTCTCCAGGCTCGCGGGGGACACCCGCGGAAACTCCCGCGCGCCGTTGTCAATGCAGGCGGACATCCACATCCATGGAACTTCCGTCGCTGCACTATATAACAGATCCCGTGGTACCCTCGTACCTGTATCTGGGCATACCTCCTTCATTGAAGCCAGTCGTGCCAGCGCGTCTGCTAGCTCAGTTAGGGGATGTGCTGAGTGTCCAGAGACGTGCGACCACGTAACATGCTGCCGTGCGCGCAATACCTTCACAAGTGCACCCATGTACACAGGCAACTGCCAACACGACTCATACCTCACACCACCCTTGGCCGTGTCAACCACCATCATCTTATCTGTGTGAACAACAACTGGCATTCTACGATATGTGTCGGGGGCCTGCAGCATCCAACACACACAAACCATAGAGCAGCATGGAACTCCGCAGGACCAGGAGCGCTAACATACTCCTCCTGAAGGCTGGGTGCAGCCCCTGCCAAGTACCCCTCGATCCGACAGCGGTGGTCCTGAGTGACGCCGCACACCACAAAAGGCCCACGATGGGGGTCCTCCATACTCCGCATGCTATGAACCCCCAGATCCATCCGTGTACACATCCAGTCTGTGCAACTGCGAATCGTCGATCGATGCATGCTGGTAATCTGCAACAACATTCTGCAAGAAGCAGCGCGTGGAAGAATGGAGACGATGTGAGAAAAGGCAAGGCAACTCGCACTCTTCTGTGGATTCTGAGACACAAAATTGCGCAAGAGACGGTTCCGCAGCAGGCTCGGAGAGCTCATCCACGAGCCTGCTGCAATCTGGAAATGGACTTCGCGGCGGCAAGACAGAGCTATGCGATTGGTCCTGCCGCCCTTGCGGAGGTGACGCGCGCTGGGCCAAATGCGGCCGATCCCACTGGCGCTGTCCACCTCCGCAGGGAAACTCACCCCTGTGAAAACAAGTCCTCCCCATGTCCCTCATGGGATCGTCTGGGGCTTCGATCCCTCTCCACTTCTGAACTGCGGGCTGCCTCATCGCGTCCCCTTGGCATCGGACGCTCTTCTCCAAGAACCACGCGTGGCTCCACGCTGCTTGACTTCGGCGACGGTGACGCCCCGCTGACCGCCGAGGCCATGGCCGCAACGATGGTTGGCTGCCCTGGTCCTGCGATGCCTCTTGCCCGCATGGCGCGGCGCTCCTCCTCGGCAGCCTCGGCGCGGCGCTCGGCAGCTGCCTTGGCGCGGGCAGATCGGGCGGCCTTCTTGGCCTCCCAATCGTTGGAAGCCACGTCGTCATCAGCATCCTCTGGCACAGGCGCACCATGTCCACCACCGACATCTGCCTGTAGCTCTGCCGCGGCACGCGACTGGGCCTCTGTCAGGATGGGCACGCCCGACACCACCGCGGGCGCGATCGGGCCTGGCGACGCCGCCACCTCGGCCTCCCGCACTAGCACTGCTGGCGCGACTACTGGAGGCTGCTGCGCCTGCGCCGCGCCCGCTGCGAGTTGTCCTAGCGCCGCCTGCAGCCCGCCAAGCACCGACGACAGCCCCGCCAACTGCTGCGCCGTGTTCACCTGGCCCTGCTGGAGCTCGGCGATGGCGGCAACCGAGCCCGACGTCATCGCGTCCGCTGGGCGGCCTCCCCTGGGCGAAGCACCTGCTGGCGGCGTGGCTGTGCCGGTATCGCCATCGGCGGCTGCCGTTGGAGACATGGTGGCATCGCTGTTCGGCTCTGAGTAGTGCGTCTCCAACTGGCGTAGCAGCAGCTGCGCCCGTGCCAGCTCACTGAAGCGCAGGGACAGGACGCCTGTCTTGTGCACGAGGGTAGCCTTGCCTCATCGACATCATCCTGTGCCCGTCTCATCCTCTTCTCGGCCTGCTCCACGAAGGCACGCTGGTGCTGGAGCCTGGCGGTCGGCGATCTGCACACTATGATCATGGTCATGAGGGCTGCATATTCCTGAGCCAGGTCGTTGATCACGCTCTCAGGATGCCCAAGCTGCCGGCTTGCACGCAACTTCTTGGCGGAGGCGATGGCGAGGCGCCGCAAATGCCTCCTGTGCACCTGCGCTGCTTCCTCATTGCGGGGCGGCTCCAGCCAGGAGGGGTGCGCCTTGGCCTCCTCAGGGAGCGCAGGCAGCACACCGAGTGGCTGGAGCGCCGCCGAGTCCTCCGTGTCCGTGCCCTCCTCGACCTCGTTCTCCTCGAACGTGACATCCGCCGACCTCGACCGACGCGGGGCTCTCGTCCGCCTGGGCCCAGACGTAGAGCGGCCTCTGCTAGCCTCAGGTTCGGGCGCAGCCTCAGCCTCAGGCTCAGGCGTCGGCGCCGGACGCCGTGGATGGGTGTCGCCCGCAGCCTCAGGCTCTGCACGTTCTCCCTGCTGACTACGACCACGCCGTCTACGTCGATCGCGATCGGTGCGTTCTCCGTGCTGACTTCGACCAGCCGCTCCACCCGTCGATCTGGCACGCCGATTTGCCTGCGGGGTAGGCGTTTGCTGTCTTCTGCCTGACGTCTGCTGCAGTGGCCCGCCACTGGTCCACGGCGCCTGGGCAGGCATGGGGAAGCACACTCGGCACAATCCATCCTGCATCATGTTGGGCTCCCCGCGCTGCTCGCACCACCAAGCTGGCGGCGGGGGGGGACAGGCCCGACCTGCTTGCCCTTGCCCTTGCCCATGCCGCCACCTTTGCCTCCTCGATGTCGCCGCGACGTCGAACTGTGGTGCTCTCGTAGCCTCTGCGCTGCACTGACAACTCGTAGCAGCACGCGAGCACTGGCGCGGGCCTGCCGATCACGGCGGCGCCACGCTGGCTCGCCTCCGCGGCCGCTGGGCCGCGCAAGAGCCCGCGGCGAGCGGGAACCCCGCGGCGTGCCGCCAGCAGCAATCGCGGCCCAGGCCCAGGCCGCCGAGCCGCGCAGCGGCGGCGCGGGCCAGCGCGCGTGGCCGCCCGCCCCTCGTGAGAGGTTCGCTGTACCTGGTACAGCTCCCGAAACCTCTCGAGCAGGGGCGGCAGCTGGCAGGAGGCGGAAGGGAGGGAGGGGAGAGAGGGAGATCCGGGGAGGCTACAGTGCAGCATGCAACTCAGAAGAGGCCGAAGGTCATAGGCAGGATGTCGGCGCGGGTGGTCCTGCGGCCACCCCATGAGCACCCCGAGAACATGATGCGCCAGGACTTGGCTCGCCATCGCTCGGACGCCCATTCCCTGCTTTTCTCTTGCCAGTGTCGTGCGTGGCCCTTTCGCCGCGATGATGAAAAGGATGCTCCTCTCGATGGTCCTCGCCGAGAGGACGCATGCACACGTCCGAGCCATGCCAATCTGGCGTCGGCAGGCCCTATCAAAAGACTTGAGGGAACCGTCGACCGTTTCGAGTCATCTTGACACGCGTTGACGGTTTCCTGTACTTAACTCGAGATTTAGGAAAGCTACAGAGCTGATACTTACAGAAACCGATTCAGAATCATCAGGCACGTTCGTCTGTTCCATCGAGGACTGGGAGACGGGCTCGGGGTCGGGCTGCGGGGCGGCGCGGGCGCCGAACGGCGCGTGGAGGCACCGGCGCCTTTGGGGGGCCCTCGGCGCTCCAGGGGGGCTGGGCCCCGCACGGTGCTGCCGCGGAGCTCTCCTGGGTCGGCGCGCGCAGGCGAGCGCGGTGGGGAGCTGCCATTGCCAGCCTCGAACGCATCCCTATCCCTAAGATTGACACGCCAAAAGGCGATGACAATCTTAGGGATTCGCCCTCAATTTTTTTCGCCCTCAAAAAAAAAAAAGATTCGCCCTCAAAAAAAAGGGAATCCCTGAGATTGGCATCGTGGTGAGGAGGTGCCCATCATAGGGATGGGGATATGTTCCACTCTGGTTACGCCAGCCAGATCTAAAATCCACCAGGGCAAAGCTTAAGCCGAAGGGCGCCCTGGCGAGACCAACGCATTGTGCAGAAATGATGGTGTCGTGCATTCCCGCCTCATTGCGGGTCGGGCCAGCGGCCAGCAGTGTGGTCCACGTAGGAGGCTGGCGTAGCTGTCGACGACGAGGTAGACATGCTGCTGCAGCTGGGTACACTGGCACTGCTGCGAGCGATGCTGTTGGATGCGCTGTTGTTGCCGCGCGTGGCGCTGCAAATCCCAGCCACGGCGTTCACAGCAGTGCGGTTGGCCGTGCTGGTGCAACTGCGCGTGGTATTGCTGCGCGGTGTGCGGCTGGTCCCAGTCGGGGTGTTTGCTATGGAGCTGCCGGTCGCGCTGGCGCTGCTGCGCGTGGCGCTGCTGGCCCCAGTCGAGGTGATTACTGGGGTGTTGTGGTGGCACTGCCCTTCCAAGTCGCGGTGACTACGGAGGAGCTGCGGGAAGCACTGGTACTGCGGTGAAGGGTGCTGCTGGCTCCAGCCGTGATGTCACTCTGGCGCTGCTGGCTGTACTTGTGCTGCTTCGCGTGGTACCGATGGTTGCGATGGTGCTGCTGCGCGTAATCCTGCTGGTCGCAGTCGTGGTGGTCGCAATGGCGCTGCTGGATGCATTGATGCTGCTGCGCATGGCGCCCGTCATGCTGCTCTCGCGCGTCGTGACCCCAGTCGTGTTGCTCGCAATCGTCGTCTGGGCGCGCTCTAGATGCACTGGTGGCTCGGGGAACATAAAGTGCCGTACAACTCTTTTATGTTCCAACTCGCGCGTACTTGCCCTGTGACATTAAGATGTGCTGCGTTGAAAATGTTTGGGCGATGCGGCACATGCTAACGCGCCCCCTGTCCCAGCCGTGTGGCCGATAGTCTGGCTCCACAGCAGGAGCACCTACGGCCCCGAACGCACAATCAAAGAGGTGCTGCGGCGGGCACTGAGCGCGCTGAGGGATGTGCCAGTAACGTTACTTGTGGCCGGGTGGCCGTCGTGCTGAACAGCCGAGGTTTGAGGGGTCGTGATGCGACACTCCGCCGTGCTAATCAGCAACGTACCGCTGAAGCCTGTCAGGCTGCTCCTCGTCGGACTGCTGGCGACCGTATGGCTGCGCATAAGTGATGCTGCGCTCTGTCGTGCTGCTCAGCGTCGTGCTGCTAGGACTCCCTTCGCGCTGCCTGTCGTCGTGCTGCTGGAACCCGTCGCGGTGCTTACCTGCGTACTGATAGTAAGCCAGGTCTGGAGAACGCCAGCCCATCCTCCGCCACGGGGTAGCGGATGGGCCCGAGCGCCCAAGCAGAGGGCAACCAAGTCTGCTGCGCTGCGTCCGCCACGCCTGGATGCTGGCGAGTGCTGCTTGCAGTCGTTATCAGGACACCAATGTGCATGTACTGGGGAGCGTCGTCGGCCCGAGTCGGCGATTTGGTCGGCACGGGAGTCGGCGAGCTGCTCGGTGCGAGACTCGGTGAGCTGCTCGGCGCGCGGGTCGCTTAGCAGGACGGCACGGGGGTCGGCGAGCTGGGCGGCACGGAAGTCGGTGAGCTGGTCGGTGCGGGAGCCGCCGAGCTGGTCGGTGTGGGAGTCGGTGAACTGGTCGGTGCGGGATTCGGTGAGCTGGTCGGCTCTTGAGTCGATGAGCTTTTTCTTTGCGGCCGAAGTACTTGCAATACATGTCCGACTGTTTTGGTGGGTGCGGCAGTCGGTCAGCTGGTTGGTGGGGGGGTCGGTGCGGGGGTCGGCGCAGGCGTCGGCGAGCTGGTCGGTGCGGGGGTCGGTGAGCTGGTCGGCGCGGGGGTCGGCGAGCTGGTAGGCGCGGCAGTCGGTGAGCGGGTCGACGCGACAATCGACGAGCCACTCGGCGCGGGAGCCGGCGAGCTGGTCGCTGCGGGGGTCGGCGAGCTGGTCGCTGCGGGGGTCGGTGAGCTGCTCTTCGCGTGGGTCGGTGAGCTGGTCGGCACGGGGGTCCGCGAGCCGGTCGGCGCAGAAATCGTCGAGCTGGTCGGTGCGGGGGCCGCCGAGCGGAGCGGGGGTCGGGGAGCTGGGCGGCGCGGAAGTCGGAGTGCTCGGGTTGGGCTTCGGCGAGCTGGTCGGCGCGGAAGTCGGCGAGCTGGTCGGCGCGAGAGTCGGTGAGCTGGTCGGTGCGGGAGGCGCCGAGCTGGTCGGCGCGGGAGTCGGTGAGCTGGCCGGCTCGGGAGTCGGTGAGCTGGTCGGCGCGGGAGTCGATGAGATTTTTCTGCGGCGGAAATATTAACAGTACTGTTTCCATGTGTCTTGGTGGGCGCGGGGGTCGGCGAGCTTGTCGTAGCGGGGGTCGGGTGAGCTGGTCGGTGCGGGGGTCGGCGAGCTGGTCGGCACGGGATTTGGCGAGCTGGCAGGTACGGGGATCGGCGAGCTGGGCGGCGCGGGAGCCGGTGAGTTGGTTGGTGCGGCAGCCTGTGAGCGGGTCGGCGAGGGAGTCGGCGAACCACTCGGCGCGGGAGTCGTTTAGTTTGAGTTGGTCGGTGCGGGAGTCGATGAGCTGGTCGTTGCGGGAGACAGCGAGCTGGTCAGCGCGGGATTCCTTCGCCTGCGCTGGCGGCGGCGGCCGCCAGCGGACCTGCGGCCGTCGAGATGGCCTGGCTACTGCCCCGATGGGGGTGGGAGTTGGCGAGCTGGTCGGCGTCGGCATCGACGAGCTCGTTGGCCAGGGATTTGGCGAGCTGGTCGGCGTGGGGATTCCCGACCAGCGCGCGGGTGTCGAGCTCGTGCTGCACAACGGCCCGCCGCTGAGTCCAAACGCGCGTTGCTGCGGGTCTCAACGCGCGATGCCGTCGCCGCCCAGCGCGCGCACATCGCGATCATCTTTTTGATCGCCGGCCTGCCCAACGGGCAAACGACGAGGAGACGGGAGAGGAAAGTGACTGCGCTGAGGAGGACAATGAAATGGACGCGCTGCACGTGACACCCGTCGCGTGGCTCCTGGCAGCCGCCGCGCTGATCGCGGCGTCCGCCGTGCTGCTCGGCGTGCTCGTCGAACTGATCGGCGCGCCCGTCGCTCTGCGCGTGATATCGGACGCGCAGAGCTTGATTTCCATCGCGCCGCATGTGATATCGGACGTGCACGCCAGGTTGCCGCAAACATCGCCTATGCTGCGTGGCTCGTTTTTCCACGGCTGGATACGGCGCGGCGGTGGTAAGGGTGGAGGAGGAGGAATAATAATAAGAAGAATACGAGTAATTATCCCAGTGCGACCCTACCTAGGAGTTGGAGCATCTAGGACAACAGCATCTACATCTACATCGACAGCTACATTAGCAGCTACACCTGCATCTACATCTACATCAACATCAGCAGCGAGACTCACATCTACATCTACATCTACACCTACATCTATACCTACATATACATCTACACCTACACCTACATCTACATCTACACTTTCGCATTGGTTTTGTTTTTGCTTTGCATTGTCTTGCCTTTGCCTTTGCATTGCCTTTGCATTGCCTTGCTTTTGCTTTCGCTTTGATTACGGAAGGCACTGCTTGCGGGGGCTACGGTCCGGCCAACGAGGCTAGCACGGCATCTGTCGCACATTGCTTTTGCTTTGCCTTTCCTTTGCTTTGCTTTTGCTTTTGCTTTGCTTTGCTTTGCGTTGCTTGTGCTTTGCTTTGCTGTCGCTGCTGTTGCTTTGCCTGTGCTCTGCTGCTATGCTATGCCATGCCATGCTATGCTATACTATGCTGCGCTGTGCTATGCTGTGCTATGCTGTGCTGTGCTGTGCTGCGCTATGCAATGCTGTGCTATGCTGTGCTGCGCTATGCTATGCTATGCTGGGTTATGCTATGATATGCTGTGCTGCGCTATGCTATGTTACGCTATGCTATGCTGTGCTCTGCTATGCTAAAGCTCAGAGAAGCTAAGATGAAGGTAAGCAAAGCTAAGCTAAGATAAACCTGAGCTAAGATGAAGTTAAGCTAAGCTAAGATGAAATCAGCTAAGCTAAGATGATATAAGCAACGCTAAGCTAAGGGGACGTTGCTGGGGGAACCGCGGGGCGGATACTGGGGGAGCCGCCCGGGGCGGTTTGCACTGCCCGGCCCCTTTAAGAAAGAGAGTAAGAACCCTCTAGGCAGAGCCTAGGTAAGGAATAATAATAATGAGAAGAATAATTTTAAGAAGAAGAAGCAGAAGAAACGAAGAAGAAGAGCGGCGCCCGCGCCGTGGCGGTGGGGATCGGGCTCCACGTTGTCGACGTCGTT